CACTTTACCACTCCTCTACTGGTACTCTGTGGAATTGCCTAGCAAATACATTATTTGCTCTTGAATTTTGATCTGAAGGTTTTCTTCTGGGGGAGCCCAACCTAAGATGTGAGGGTAAGTCAAATATGCCTATATCTTAAGAGTTGTGGAAACATTCTTCTGTTTCTCTCTGAGAAATAGCAACGTCATTGCAAGACTTTAGCATGGACACCATAGCTCATTAGAGTGGTCACCTTGCATTTATAGGGCTTTGGGAGTGTGACAGTTAATTTTTGTCAATTTGACTCGGTGATGGGGTGTCCAGCTATTTGGTCAGACATTATTCTGAGTGTCCTCAGGAGGGTGTTTTGGGATAAAATTAGCATTTGAATTGGTGGACTAAGTAAAGCAGATTGCCCTTCCTAATATAGAATGCTCATCCCATCAGTTGAAGGTCTGAATATAACCCAAAGGCTGACCCTCCCATCAGTAAGAGGGAACCCTTCCTGCCTGACTGCTTTGAGCCAGGACGTTGTTCTTTCATGACCTTTGGATTTGAATGTAAGTATCTGTTCTTCTTGTGTCTTATGCCTGCTGGATTCCAGATGGGAACTTATATCATTGGTTCTTCTGGGTCTCAGGCCTTAGGACTTGGACTGGAACTACATATCAGCTTCCTGGGTTTCCAGCTTCCTGGCTGCAGATCTTGGGACTTCTCAGTCTCCATAATAGCATGACCTAATTCCTTATAATCTCTCTCTCTGTGTCTCTCCACACACACACACACACACACACACACTTTATTGGTTTTGTTTCCTGTGGAAGTGGCTTTGGAACTGGGTAATGAGTAGAGGCTGGAAGGGTTCTGAGTTGCATGCTAACCTACATTGCCATGAACAGAATGTTGGTAGAGATATGAACATTAAATGTCATCCTGCACTTTGGGAGGCTGAGGAGAGTGGATTACTTGAGCCCAGGAGTTCGAGACCAGCCGGGCAATGTGGTGAAACCCCATTTCTACAAAAAATACAAAACTTAACTATGTGTGGTGGTGCACGCCTGTGGTCCCAGCTATTTGGGAGGCTGAGGTAGGAGGATCAACTGAGCCCAGGATGTCTGGGCTGCAGTAAGTTGTGATCACTTCATTGCACTCTAGCCTGGGTAACAGAGTGAGACCTTGTCTCAAGAAACAAACAAACAAACAAACAAACAAAAAACCCCAAAAACAAAAAGACAAAAAACAGATCATTCTGGTCTGCTGAGGTCTCAGACAGAAATTAGAAACATATGATTTGAAAGTGGAATTAAGGCAGTCCTAGTTGTAAGTGAAAAAGAACTTAGCTGAACTTCCTCCTCGTGTTTTATGGAAGGTAGAATTTGTGAACAATGAAACTGGAGACAGTAGTTCTCCCTTATCTGTGGTTTTGCTTTCTACATTTCAGTTACCCAAGGTCAACTGCCATCTGAAAATCTTAAATGGAAAATTTCAGAAACAGGCTGACTGCGTGGCTCACGTCTATAATCCTAGCACTTCGGGAGGCCGAGGCCAGTGGTTGACTGAGGTCAAGAGTTCGAGACCAGCCTGGCCAACAAATTGAAGCCTCATCTCTACTAAACATACAAAAATGAGCTGAGCATGGTGGCAGGCACCTGTAATCCCAACTACTCGGGAGGCTAAGGCAGGAGAATTGCCTGAACTCCGGAGGCAGAGGTTGCAGTGAGCTGAGATTGTGCCATTGCACTCCAGCCTGGGCAACAGAGCAAAAACTGTCTCAAAAAAAAAAAAAAAAAAAAAAAAAAAAAAAATTCCGGAAGTAAACAATTCATAAGTTTTACACTGAGCCCCGTTCTTCTGAGTAGCATGATAAAATCTTGCACTATCTCACTTTCTCCCGCCTGGGACATGAATCACCCCTTTGTCTAGCATGTCCATGCTGTCTACGCTACCTACCTGCCCATCACTTAGTAGCCATCTTGGTTGTCAGATGGACTATTGTGGTATTTCAGGGTTTGTGTTCAAGTAACCTTTACTTTATTTAATAATAACCCCAAAATTCAAGAGTAGTGATGCTGGTATATTGTTATAATTTTTCTATTTTAAAATTATTCTTCATCTCTTTATGTACCTAATTTATAAGTTAGACTTTATCATAGATATGTATGTATATGAGAAAACATAGTATATATAGAGTTCAGTACTATCTGTGATTTTAGGCATCCACTGGGCATCTTGGAAGGTACTGCCCATAGGTAGGAGGGAATTACTATATTTAGCTGAAGAGATTCCAAAGCAAAGTGTTGAAGGAGTGGCTTGGTTCCTGCTGACTGCTTATAGTAAAATGTGAAAGGAGAGAGATTAATTAAAGAAGTGAGAAGTCACGCCTATAATCCCAGCACTTTTGGAGGCTGAGGAAGGTGGATCACCTGAGGTCAGGAATTTCAGACCAGACTGGCCAACATGTTGAAACCCTGTCTCTACTAAAATACAAATATTAGCTGGGCATGGTGGCATGCACCTGTAATCCCAGCTACTTGGGAGGCTGAGGCAGAAGAATTGCTTGACCCTGGGAGGCAGAGGTTGCAGTGAGCCAAGATTGTGCCACTGCACTCCAGCCTGGGCAACAGATCGAGACTCTGTCTCAAACAAAACAAAACAAAACAAAACAAAAAAGTGAGAAATAACAATAGAATTCTCAGCTCCCAACTGACGGGATGAATTTCCTCTTGGCCAAGGAGACCTCAGAGAAACTTAAGCTGAGTTTCTGGCCATGATGGGTTGGAGGTCAGACACACCTCATTATCCCCTTGCCCTCAACAATTGCCATCAATCTTTCTTCTCTAAGGGCTAAACAGAAACCAGCCCTTTCAAAAGACTCTACACTGATAATGTAGATAGCTACCTTATTTCCCCAGGTACAGAACAAAGATGAGATTAATCGTTTCTTCACCCCTCCCTGAGATATCTGCTTCCTCTATTCCTTTTTTCTTCATTCATCTTATCTTATATAAAATGTAAATTTTGGGGGTACTAACTAAAGTCTCTCACAACTATGTAATCATTTACCTCATTGCTCCCTCCTTCCTTTTAAGGAAAATGTAGAACTACTAAACCTCTAAAGAACATCTCTGGAAAATACAGCCACAGATGTGTCTGTGACTCACATCTTTCCTGGGTGCACCCTTCAGCTGGCTCCATAAACCTTGATTGATTGAGACACCTGCCTCCGTCACTCATTTTGGTTGTCAGAAAAAACAATTAAGCAAAAAGGAAGCAGAACTTGAAGATTTCGCAAAATTTCAGCCTTTCCCTATTGCAAAAAAAAAAAAAAATAATAATAATAATTAGAAAGCTTGTTCTGAAGAGAACACTGAGAATGTGTCTGAACAATCACGTGATGAAGAAATCACGAGGCCAGGAATGGCAGCTCATGCCTGTAATCCCAGCACTTTGGGAGGCTGAGGTGAAGGGATCACTTTAGCCCAGGTGTTCGAGACCAGCCTGGGCAACATAATGAGACCCTGTCCCTGTAAAAAATAAAAATAAAAATTTAAACAATAGAGATCATGAGTACAACTCATGCACTTCATCAGTTATCTTGGCAGAATCCAGGAATGGGATTATACCAGTGAAGACACTACCAGTTTGAACTAAAGCGGGTAGAGAAAGCAGGACAGAATGAAGGATAACTCTCAACCTTCTTGGAATCTACAGGACCAAACCATAGAACCATCAGCTACAAATGTATGCTAAGAATGAAGCAGAAGGTGATTAAAGAATCATCAGGGGTGCCACTGCCACCATAGGCCCCAGAACCAAGGTGTTTTCTCCTCTGTTTCCAAGGGCAGGGCTTTGTCTCTGGTTTCAGCCAGGACAATCCCATCCAGTGCCTCAGGGGTGGACTGCTTTCTGAAGAAAGCTGTGTGAACAGGGAAACTTGAAAGAGCCTTGGAGGTGATGCTGCCACCTCAGTGGGCCTTTAGGGCAGAGCATCAAACCAAAGAAGCTTATTCTCAAGTCTTGAGATCTAATGGAATTTGCCTTGCTAGGTTTTGCACTTGCTTGAAACCCGACACCCTTTGCTTATTTCTTTCTTATTATTCTTTCTTATTATTCTCCTTCCTTATTTCTCCCTTTTGGTATAGCAATGTCTATCCTACGCCTGTCCCACCATTGTGTTTTGGAAGCACATAACTTGTGTGGGTTCACAGATTTACAGATAGAGAGCAGTTTGCTTCAGGATAAATCATGCCTTGGTTCTCACTCATACCTGATTTAAATGATATTTAGATGAGACTTTAGACGAGTCGATGGTGTTATGAGTTAAGACTTTGGAGGCTGTTGGAGTGCAGAAAATGTATTTTGCGTGCAAGAAGGACATACATTTTGGGGGTGCCAGGCGTGCAATGCTATAGACAACTGTGTCTCTCCAAAATTCATATGTTAAAGCTCTAACCCCCAATGTGACCGTAGTTGGAGATAAGACCATTAGCAGGAAATTAAAGCTAAATAAGGTCATAAGCACTGGACCTCATTTGATAAGACGGTGGCTTTTTAAGAAGAGGAAGAGCTGCCTCTCCCTCTTTCTCTTCCTCTCCTCCCTTCCTTCCTGCCTTTTCCCTTCCCTCCACTGTGTGAAGACACAGCAAAAAGGTCATCTATAAGCCAGGAAGAGAGCTCTCACCAGGAACTGAATTGGCTGGTATCCTGATATTGGACTTCTCAGTCTCTAGAACTTTTAGAAAGAGGTTTCTGTTGTTTAATCCATCTAGTCTGTGGTATTTTCTTTTGACAGGCTGAACCAAGACAGGGAGGATGGTGGAACATCTGATGATGGCAGTGCCGTCAAACCCATCTTGTCCCAAACATCCCTTGAAGGTCCCAGAACCATTCCAGAGTGGGATGTCCTGTCTTAGCATCCAAAGTATCAGTAGGTGTTACCCCAACCCAATCCCCAGAAACTGGAAACATTCCATTTGGTGCCGTCCTGAAGTGTCTGTAACAAAAATCCCACACACTTGAGTCTTTTTCATCGGTTTTATTAGCATCAATATATACAAAGTGGAAAATGACTTAATTTCATTATTCTAGCTTAGAAAGTTTGCTTTGCTTTTTATTCCGTTTGGCGATAAAATGGAAATGAAGGTTTCCCAGGAGAAAGCCTACCTTTGGGGGTGCTGAACAACTCAAATAATATCTGACCTCAAATGACCCATCATGCCTAGTCAAGGACATAGGAAGGTCATGCCCTTTGGATTCACTCAAAGGGCATTTTTGCCTGAGGCCCATGCCTCAGCCTAAAGCTACCCACATATTTGCCAAATCACTACTTCTTACACAACCCTCCTGATTATGCAGATGCTTTGCTTCCTTCTGGGCTATTTGGCAGTTTTCAAAGCTATCAGCCTGAGGTTCTGTAGGCTCTCCTAGGGGTGCGCTTCAAAAGATCATAGTTAAAGCACGTCTATGAAACTAACTAAGAATGGTCATCAGGTAGCGATCAGAATACTTATGTTAGCTAAATAATTCTACAAAAAAAAAAAAAAAAAAAAAAAAAGCAAAAAGCTGAGCTCCAAGCTAAAGAGGGTTGAGTGTGTGCATTTTTAAAGCACAGGGTGGTAGCTGACAGATACAGCTTATATGAATTAGCATGTAATACACGCCATCACATGCATTCTCTGAAGCTCACAATCTCTGTAAACGTATTTCCCCACTGTTTTAAAAACAAAGAGTGGCTTGTAGGAAGGCTCAGTCCATTCTCGAGTTTCTCAAGAGTGTATCCTATTCAAAAATATTTAATCCCAATGGGTTTTAATATTGATCTTATAAAAACAGACGTATATGAACTGTAATGAGATGCCTTGCACATTTTTGGCACTATTGTTTTTTTACCTTTACGTATTACAAATACACATTCAGTTATTTTAAAAAGAAAAATAGACACCAACCTGTCTTTTCAATCACACTGTACATCGTTGAACTCGTATGATCCGTCTCTAGGCTAAAACAAACTTTTAAAACATGGTTACAGGTGCGGTACTACTAAGACAGAACTGAGACACTGGTCTCCTGAAAAAAACAACAATGACAGCAACAACAACAAAAAAACAAAAAACCCAACGCCTTTTCTATCTTTCCAATAGCGAATAAGAACACCTGGGGTGTGGCCTGGCTAGTTTTGGGGATAGGGTTAGAATAAAGATTTATATTTTGTCAGTCTTTATAAAGGAAAATGTTTAGTTTACACATAACCATAATATGTTCTAAAATCAAATATTATTAATAGAGTTCTTCATTCCAGGTGACCCAGGGTTAGGGTTAGAATAAGCATCCAATAAAATGGATTGGGTTCTGCCTTTTAAGGAAAGGTTACATTATTTTTGTTGTTATCTTTCTCCAAACATGACATTGTTCACTAATGGCCTGGAACACTTCTCTGGTTCTTGCATTAAATGGGGCTTTGGGTCCTGGAAAACAGCCTTTAGCTATTTCTTGCCATGGACCACACATGCGTGCCTTCAGGAGTATATATGCAAGATTCTTTTCTGGCAGAAGGAAAATATTCTAGTCTTAGACCCCAAGATTGAGGTCTGAGCTGGCAAGGAGAGTACAAGTGTGCATAAAACCAGCTTTCCCTATCTTGCTTAAGATGTTTTCAATGTAACCACCAAAACATAGACTCCCCACCATTCTCCCTACGGCTGGAAAGATCTTTTCCTGTTTGAAAACCAGCAGACTTGAAACAATTCCAGAGAGAATGGGAGGGCACCAAAGAGAGTTCCAAATGCCACTGAGCCCGTGTGCCTGTCCAAGCCATTGACTGTCACCACCACGTCACCGGTCCCAGGGAGGTGAGTCTGCTTTACACATAGTATTTCTTCCATGCACCCACACCCCCCACCTTCTCTTTATTCCTGTATTTAGAAAAGAATTTTCCAAAGAGTCACACATGCACCAGCTTCACTGGGTTGGGGGAAAACAGACCCTGATAAAATAGGAGGAATGCCCGTGTGATTAGATGTGGGGCTATGGAATCCTTTCTGGATGAATTTCCTCTCTCTGTCTTCATCGATGCTCAGGTCAGACGATACAGGATTCCACTGGACGGTTTGCTGTGATTTAAAATCTCCTGCCCCTGTTCTCTGCAGCTCCTCAGTCAGCATTCACACCACCCTCCAACATTCAGACAGCTTCAGAGAATAGAAAAATAGTTTCTTCTCATAGGACCTCCCGCCCCCTGAAATACTTGATGGCAAGTATATTCTGAAGATGACACCTTTTAGAGAATCAGTGCACTTGACTCTCCTCTATTTTGAGAGCTGAGAGATATTCCAGAACCCCAGGAGAAAACAGAGCTCACCCCTGGATTTCCAAACATAGCACCTCCTTTTTCCCATCACAAATCCTTGTCACTGTATGAGTGGGGCCGCCGGTGCCTCCTAAGCCTGTGTGTTTATTATCACAGCTTGAGAGTGGCTTGCTGAACATGGTGATTGATTGTGGCACTCGTAGCATAAATTACGTGCTCTTTCATCGTTGAAAGAGTGTCAAAGAACAGAACATTTTATTAACCCACTTCCCTTACCGAGCGATCCCCCTCACCCAATTCTTCACTGGAACTCTCAAATCTCTCATATTTTCTCTGAAAAATTCCCTTTGGTCCTTTGTCACCTTTTTAGAAAGAAAACGTTTTCTTGTTTTGTCACTGTCCAGCAAGGCCAGAGTGGTAAAAGACAATGTTTATGTAACACCTTTGCTACCTTCAGAAGAACTGTGAGAGGGAGGGGATGTGGTAAAACCTTTCGGAAGCTGGTAGAATGGGAAGGGAGGACACAGAATTTGTTTTGGAGCACAGTTCCCCAAATGGGTTTAAGTACCCATGCTAAATTCCAACCCAAACTAAGCCAACAAGAAATACCCTTTCCAACCTAATCTTGGGACTTAGATTTGTACTGAAAACACCATGGGCATGGGTCCCAAAGATGCATGCAATTCGATGCAGCCTTAGCATGGCATTGCTGATGGGAGAAACTCCATCTGTTGTTTTGTGTTTTTGCTGCCGCAATTTGCCACTTTGCAAGTCTTCCACCTGCCTTCAGAATTGAGGCTGTAACATGAATTTTGCTGAGGCCGCAAAACATCCAAACCCACACCTATTTCACTTTTAAATATAATAAATACAGGGAAGAAAACAGTAAACCTTCAATAAAGAGTCTAAAGAAAAGACAGTCGACATTCTGGGGTTTCAATCAAATGCCACATGGTCTCTGGATGAATGTCTCGAGGAGATTGTGACTGAGTTCACAAGTCCCCTTCTCAGGCGTAGCTCTCTTTAGATAGAAACCTCATACTCTCTGGTTTCCTGCAAGAGAGAGAAGCACAGATTTGTCAAACCCTTGTGTGGTAGAGTGATATACATAGGGGGATGCAGTTCTTGGCACCTCTGTATGTCCATGCCCTTGGTCATGACTTTGCAGTGCCCTCTCACTCTGACCCTGACTTGCTTTTGCCAATGGGTTATAAGGAAATGGGGTACAACAGCTGCTTGAAACATATTTGTATGTTTCTGCTCACATCCTGCCCATCTGTCATCACCATGAGCTAGGCTTTAGTTGCTGCAGGAAAATGAAAGACACACAAAGCAGAGCTGAGTCACCAAACCATCAACCAGACAATGTCAGGATTACCACCCAGCTAAAACGCTGACCCACAGACTGAAGAGCAAATGAATACTTGTTGCATTAAGCCATTGAGTTCGGAGATGTTTGTTACTCAGCATTACCATAGCTCTAGGTCACTAATACACTCTACTAATAAGTATTCATAATGTCTAGTCTCTAAAATTCTTTATTTCAGTCTGACCTTTTCCCATGATTTCAAAGCAAGCTACATAGAATGGAAAACAACATATGCCCTGATCTACCATTGCCATATGAAATGACTACAACATGTGAGTAGTTGGATTTCTTCAATATTTATGGAGTGTGAGTAATGTATTCCAAGCCCCAGGGACAAGGAGCAAAGAGATAGAAGAAGTCACAGGCTCAGCCCTGAAAGTTGTCACTGTCACATACTTTAATGGAAGTCTCCAGCTCCCATTCAGCCAACACAGATGTGCAATCACATCTATGCTTCATGGTACATGGGAGTGTGGTGGGCAGGCCCCAAGGTGGTCTCCATGATCCCCACCTCCTGGGGCTCATGCCTTTGTGTGGTCTCCTTCTTTTAAGGGTGGGTAGAGCCTGTGACTTGATTCTAACTAGGAGAATACACAGGTGCTAGGATGTCACTTCCATGTTTGCATGACACAGGCTTGTGACTTCTATCTTGCAAGATGACTCTCTCTCTGATGGTGAGTTTGAAGAAGCCAGCTGCTATGTCATGAGACGCTCTATGGAGAGGCCCACATGGAAGAAACTGAGGGTGGCCCCTAGAAGACAGCTCAAAGAAATTGAGGCCCTCATTCTAACAACCTGCAAGGAACTGAATGCTGTCAACAACCATGTGAGTTTGGAAGTGGATCCTTCCCTGGTTGAGCCTCAGATGAGACTGCAGCCCAGTTGCTGCCTTGTTTGTAGCCTGTGAGTCATAAAGCAGGGGGTCCAGCTAAGCTGTGCCTGGCTTCCTGACTTATAGAAACTATGAGATAATAAATGTATGTTGTTCATTTAGGCCCCTAAGTTTGCAGTAATATTGTTACACATCAATAGATAACTAACACAGGAGATCAGAGGAAGTGGAGGTGAAGGAAGGTTAGTGGGACAAGAAACAAGTCAGGTTTATTCCCCCCAAACATTGGGAGATGGCTGCACATCGTTACACAGTGAATTTGAAGGATGATGGTTTTGCAAAGTCATAACCAGCCTTTTGCTTCCTCGCATGTGCCCTGCACCTTTGCACATGCTCTCCCATCTGTCTGACATCCTCTTCAGCCCACCGTCCAAGCCCTAACTACTTCCCATGTCTCAGCTATACTCTCACTTTCTCAACGATGCCTTGCCCAACTCCAAGTGTCCCCATTATACATTCTCCTAGCAATTTTTTCATAGTCCTTAAAAAGTATTATTTGTTGTAATCAAAATATTCATGGACACATTGGATTGTCGGAGGTCCAAGGGAGGCAAGATAGCATCGTGATTAAGAGTGTCAGGTTGAATTTGCATCCTGGCTTCAGGCTGTGCATCCTGGCTGTGCGCCACCTTGGCCAAATTAGTCTTTCCTCTCTCCGGACCTCAATGTCCTCATCAATCAATTAGAGATAACTGTGGAATGCATTGCAGAGAGCTGCAAAGATTCAAGGAGATTATGCATTTAAAGTGCTCAGCACATGACATGTATTATTATTGATAATAGTAATTCACAAGACGGTAAACTCATTACTGGTGGAATCTGTGTCTGTTTGGGTTCATGACTATGTTCCTAGCACCTAACACAGGGTCTGACACTCAAATGTGTAGGGATGTTTCACATGCCATTGAATAAAGGGTGGAGCCCAGTGGGATGTGTGGGAATGCTGCACGTTGCCACCAGACCACTGGTGGTCTGCTGTCTGTGGGTCTTGGGTGCAGCCTCTTTTTTCTGTGGGTGTTCTGCTGACAGTAATCAGCCTCTTGGACTCGTCCTCAGCACCAATCACTTGTAAAGAGAGCTGGGTTCTCCCAGCAGTTATCTCTTTAGGGCTCTTCATGGGGATGAGACAGGACCACTGGCTGTGCGCAATAGGAAATGAAATGTTTTGTCTTATTGTTGGTGAATTCAGAGCAAAGAGGGAGGGAATTGGAAAGAGACGAGAGAGATCAACTCACCCCTGTCTCATAAATGGGGTTGTCAAACTCGGTTTCCACGGTGATCTGGCTGTAGGGGTGGGAGTACATCAGAGGCAGGCGGAGATTGGAATAGTAGCGACATCTAGGGGAGAGAAAGGAGACAGAAGTTACTTCTCCCCAGCTAGGAGACACATTACAGTATTGAACGGGAACAGTTGGTGCCACTTCCTGAGCAGCGGCACCTCTGTGAATGACAACGAGGATGTGTGCAAACAGCCTTTCGCAGGCGAGAATCCTAATGAGGTGAAAGCAGAAATCATAACTGCTCTCAACTTGCAACCCAGGCAGCGAGAACCAAAGCCTTGTGACCCCCTCTTACTAGGGAGGGGGCGGAGCTTAATTTGTTTTCTCCTGGAAGGTCACTCAGGTCCCTCTTGAATGCAAAGGGAAACAAGAACGAGGATGAGCATTTATTGAGCACCTACTGTATGCCATATTGCCTTAGATCAGCCTTCCTTGACCACCTATTTATTTATTTATTTATTTGTTTTGAGACAGGGTCTTGCTCTGTCACCCAGGTTGTAGTGCAGTGGTGTCTCACTGCAACCTCTGCCTCCTGGGCTCAAGTGATTCTTCTACCTGCACGCACCACCACACTTGGCTAATTTTTTTTTTTTTTTTTTAAGAGACGAGATCTCACTATATTGCCCATTTCCCAAGCTGGTCTCAAACTCCTGGGCCCAAGCAATCCTCCAGCCTTGGCCTCCCAAAGCGCTGGGATTATGGGGATAAACCACTATGCCTGGCCCATGACCACCTATTTAAAGGTGATTTCTCTGTTACTCACCACACCTAACCATTTCCTTCATTGTGTTTATCTTAGTGTGTTATAATTTATTTGTGTACTTACTCTACCCTGCCCCCAGTAGACCGTGGACTCCATAGGGCAGGGACGATTTATGTTAGGCATGTTCCTGCCTCAGAACCTTTGCACATGCTGTTTCCCTGCATGAAACCCTCCTTTTTCACATATCTGCATAGGTTTCTTTTGTTTTTGAAATGGAGTCTTGCTCTGTTGCCCAGGCTGGAGTGCAGTGTCACGATCTCGGCTCACTGCAATCTCCTCCTCCGAGGTTCAAGTGATTCTTCTGCCTCAGCCTCCCAAGTAGCTGGGATTACAGGCGCCCACCACCATGCCCAGGCGAATTTTATGTTTTATTTTTTTAGTAGAGATGGGGTTCCACCATGTTGGCCAGGCTGGTCTCAAACTCCTGACCTAAAGTGATTCGCCTGCCTTGGCCTCCCAAAGTCCTGGGATTACAGGTGTGAGCCATCATGCCTGGCCTGCATAGGTTTCTCATGATCACTTTCAAGTCCTTGCTCAAATGTCATTTCTCAGTGGGGCCTCCTCTAGCTACATTATTTAAAAGTCAACCACCACTTCTATTCCAGAATTCTTGCCCCCTCCCAGCCTTCTCTTCCTGCACTTATCAGTTTTTAACATACATATTTTCTTACATACTTTGCTTATTGTCTATCTTTCCTTGTTAGAACTTGAACCCCAGGAGAGCAAATATTTCCTTCTTTTTTTTTTTTTTCACAAATTATGTTTCTAGTACCCAGAAAACTGCCTGGCACCTAGTAGGTGCTCAACAACAGTGAATGTGAATGAATGAGTGGCTATTCTGGGACATGGTTTAATCTCTTCCTTCTGCATTCAATGCAAGTTTCTATGACCCCCAACACCTGGGACAGTGTCTGATATACAACAGATTGCCAATAGATATTTGTTGAATAAATGAGTGAATGCATGAGTGAGTGATGGAAGGAACAAATCAACATGTCTGGCAATATGTCATACCTACGTCCTCCACTAAACCATAACCTCCTTGAGGGCAGGAATAGTATTTGTCTTACTTGCTTGGAGGCTTCATAATTGCCCAGTGTAAATATTTATCCCACAGAATTGGGCTGAATCTGGGCATCTCTGTGATCACACAAATGCCACTATGCCCGAGCTACAGGTGGAGACCTTGAGGCTCAGAGAGGTGAACCGCCCAGTCCCTCTGAGTGCTGGTGGCTGAGTGCTTGGCAGTCGTCTCCCCCATCAGCTCCCTACCTTGTGATGTAAATGTAGGCTCCTCCCAGCAGTAAGGAGATGATGAGGACCGGGATGAAGATAGCCAGGGCCATGTTCCCCCCTTCCAGCGACGTCTCTGCTGCCGCTTCTGCTACTGAACACAGGAGCCAGTGAGGTCCTCATTTCCCAGGTATCTGACTCCCATTGAGTGCCCACCTGCTCAGTTCTCCACCCTTTGGAGACGGCTTTCCAAGGTCTAAGGCTCTGTGAGGGCCTTAGACCTTGGAGGGCCATCTATAAAGACTAGAGGAAATGGTGCTGTTCCTTTGCAAGAGGTCCCAGACTCATCCTTGGGTGGGTTGGCCATAAGAGCTACAGAAAATCACACTGTTTGAAACCTGATCATACCATTCCCATTTTTGGGGGCTACAGTTAAAATCTGGTTAAAGTCCGATTCACAGGAAGACTAGGAGAAAATCCCAAATTCAGTAACCGGGAAAGCAGATTTGCTGGACATTCCATGGAGTGGAGAAGAGAAACAGGAATGGGTCTGGACCCCAGATGCAGGAGTGGTGGGCGAATCTGGGTTTGTGCATGTCGTTGAGTTGAACAGTGCTGGTGGTTTCTCACCCACAAGGTTTCTAAGGGATTCTCAGACTTGGTGCTCACCTGTGGGGCGGGGAGCTTGTTGCATGCAGACTGGCGGGCCCCTCCTGGACCTTTTGAGTCCCACTCTCCAGCCCAGGAGTGGGCTCTGAGCATTGGGGACAGCTCTCCGTCCTGCACACCCCAGTGACACCCCAACTCTGAAGGCCCGGTGTTGATTCCCAGAGGCTACCCTTGCACATTCCCTGGCTGCTCTCTCAACCTCCCATTATTTGTGGCAATTGCAAGAACTGAAACAGCTGCTGCAGGGGCCTGGGGCAGAGGGCTGCTTTCCCAGCATAGCTTGAAGGCGGATCCTCTATCCCTTCTAGAAACTTGGCCTCCAGGTTTCCTCTGCCATTCTCCACGGTCACATCTAATAGAGCTTGGCTGTACACCAATCTATAACCCATTAACCACCACTTTATGGGGTCTGAAAAATCAATCCTAATACCCACAATAAATGCATGAGCACAAAACGTTACGATGGCTCTCATAAGCTCCGAGCAACCCCAGCCCTTTGAGACGTTCTTATGGTTCATTGGTCGGCAAAAGGCAGAAAAAGGATACTCTGAATGAAGACTAACACGAAGTGCCCTCTATTTTCCAAGTGGAGTGTCTAATTCATGCTCCTTCACTTACATTTGAGCCCTGGTTCCACCCGCTTGGATTCAAGTGTTGTCTGTTACAAGGAACAGCCACTAGTGAAAAGTAATTTACATAGCCCCAGATTCTAAGTGAACTCATTATTGTCAGAAAGCTAAAGATGGCTCCAGGAATAATCAAAACTGCTTGATTGGGTAAAAACACTTTTTTTTTTTTAAAAAAAAAGAAACAATATATTACAGTATATATTTTAAAATATATATACTATAATATACTGTATTTGTATTTACATGTATATACAGTAATATATTACAGTATATATTTTACATCACAGCCCCGGTGAGTGGTTTTGTACCAAATTCAATAGCGGTGACATAGAACGCTGGACATTTCACACACGGGAGGGGTTGGAAAGGGAAGGAACCACAAAATGAAAACAAAACTGAAATAAAATCCTGGATAGATTTTAACATCTGCTCCTCATGAATAAGTCTCAGTTGGGAATTTCTAATAAAAGGAGAGCTGAAGTAAGGAGACATGGGAGAAGGGGTGGGTATGTTGAGGGGAAAAAAGACTCAGGGAAAAATGGACCATTGAGTGTTTCCAGGGCAAACTCTTCTCTCTGGAAACCAGGAAGACTCTCAGCCTGGAAGGTGACACGTCACCGGATTTAGTTCCCTTTCTAGAATGGCATCACGAAAACTTTTACAATAGGGTTATGCCTTTCTCAGGCTCATGGGCTCTGAGCTTTCCTTATCTCGTTGTTGTTACCATGTAGAGAACAGCTGTCAAATCCCTTTCAGGTTACTCGTAGGATCCTGACTTGCAAATCCCATAATTTTTTTTTCCCTGACAATATTATCTTAAAATTATCTTCGGCAGTGTGAAGGTAGAATTTATTTATTTATTTTAAGTGTCTAAATAAAGATATTCAAAGACCTGCCCTTGTTTTGTGTGCTATTAGTTTGATTTATTAAACTTTTTTTTTTTTTTCATTCTGGAACTCACCTTCTAAAGCATGTTCAAAACTGTCTTGATTAACTGAAAGAGAAATCAGGAAGCAATGGTCAATGTAAAGTGAATTCACTTCATTTGCATGAAATGAGGCCAAAAAATTAGATGCAAAAGCCCATGCCATGCTTTGGTGAAGTTAGTGTTATGTTTTGACTTGTCTTGGGCCACTATAATCAGTGAACGTGCCTGGGGACTCTTCACTTCCTAAGTTCCCAAGAGAAGATGAGATAGATAAGACCCAACGTCAACAACAGTGATAGTGAATAATTACTGAACACTCACCGCGTGTCCAAAATTGTGCCAAGAACTCTATATACATTTGCTCATTTAACCCTCATGATAATCTTGTTAGGTCAATGCTATTATCATCCCCATTTTACAGATGAGCAAACAGAGGTTCAGAGAAGTGAAGCGACTTCTCTGACATCACACAGCTTCTCAGTGATGGAGGCAGGATTTCTATCTGGGTTGCTCAAGCTCTGTGGTTTCTGCTCTCAATCATGTGGTTAGGGTCTTTTCATCATTTTCACGTGGGGCAAAGCACGAATGGATTGCGAGGCCCAAGACCTTTATACAAAATCCAGTCAGAGATGGAACTGTTTTCTTGTTTTGAAGACTATCTATGTACACCTCTCTAATTTCATTCTTATTCCTTTTTATTTGATGAGGCTTTGTATTCCATGGGAAACTATTTTTTTTTTTTTTTGAGAAGGAATCTCGCTCTGTCGCCCAGGCTGGAGTGCAGTGGCGCACGGTCTCTGCTGACTGCAGAAACGATTTTTAATCATTTATATTTTCTGTAAACTTCTCTGGAGGTTCAAGATGATGGGGACTGGCACCCCATCTTTGTCATCAGTCATGGTGGTAGCTGAGCACAAAAAAATACCAACAAGGATGGACGTTTATTACAGGAATGCAAAACCCCAGTGTGAAGGACTTCAATGAAAAAATTGCAGCATTAGGGGATAGGAGAGAGTGGCCACCAAAGGCTTAGCTATACTCATGTCTCCAATCCCAAGACATCCTAATCCATGCCTTGGTTAAAGTCACTCTCTGGTTTACACCATCATCACACCATGACAACAAAACCAGCTGAAAAGCTAGCTGGCTAACTAAGTGCACATATCTCTGCAGCTTTGGCATCAAGAAAATGGAAAGATTGAAGCAGATGGTCCCGCCCCAAGATGTGAGTCGCACCGTGGTTGAGTGGGAGTGCGTGAATGTCCATGGAATCCTAGAACTGGGAGGAGGCATTGAATCTTGTGTCCCTTGGAGCCCCGTGCTCATGGACCTCAGGGGGCATGTTAAATGCAGATTCCTGGGCCATTCCTGGGACTTGCCAGGGCAGTATTCTCAGGGGTGGACCTCTGCAGGTCTCACCAATGCCCCAGCAGTGCTGATGCATCCAGTGGGCTCCCTGGCTCCTCTTTAGAAACTCTGATCTGGGCTCCCCCAGTTAGTTCACAAAAAGGGAAACCAAGGTCAGAGAGGGAAGGAGGCTCACTCAAGGTCACACAGGTGGTCCACAGCAGAACCGGGCTGGAGCCTGGGGGCCCCATGTCCCAGTCAGGTGGCCTCACATTGGCATTGAGTTGCTTCCCCTCCTGCAGACCACAATGTCATGCATCCCAGTTTCTTTTTCTGAAGAGGAAGTGATTTATCATTTGCGTACAGAGTTGGTGGTGGGACGCATCTCAGGAGTGGAAATGGGGAGGGAAGAAAGGTGCAGGGGTCTCCCGAGAGCCTTTCCTGCTAGCAATTCCATCACAGCTGTGGGAGAAAGCAGTGAGTTGGTGCACTTTGTGGGGCTTCTAGGGATGCTAGCCCATAGAAAAGAGAGGTTTCAGGGATCACCTGCAAAATGGAGCCTCTTTTTAGATTTCCTGTTTTTTTTCTTTTTTTTGGTCATTTGTGTATATTCTTTTTTTTTTTTTTTTTTTTTTTTTTAACAGAATCTTGCTCTGTCACCCAGGCTGGAGTGCAGTGGTGCGATCTCGGCTCACTGCAACCTCAGCCTCCCGGTTTCAAGCAATTCTCCTTCTTCAGCCTCCAAGTAGCTGGGATTACAGGTGCACACTACCATGCCCGGCTACATTTGTGTATATTCTGATGTAGTTTTATTTTCCTATCAGTTTGGCAGCAATGTAAAAAACATTGAAAACATACAGTGCTGGTGAGGATGTGGAGAAATGGACATTATTACACGTTGTTGGTGAGCGTGGACTGCTCCAATTGCGGGCAACGATTTGGTGACATCCAGGACAACTCCATATCCACAGGCCTTTGCCCACACCATCAATCCTGCTTTGAGGAACCTGTCCTGCAGGATGAAAAGTGCCAGCATCCAAATTCATGGGCAAGAATGTTTTTGCAAAACAAAACAAACAAAAAACTGGAAGAGAACTGATGTCTCCATCAACAGAGGAAGGACTGAATGCACTGGGGAACAGGCAAAGTGTGGAATGATGGGTGGCAATTAAAAAAAATAACATGGTGCTACATTTGTAATAAGTAAAACACAGAGTACAGCATGATATGGACCCCCCTCCCTTTTTTCTCTTTTGATACAGGGTCTTGCTCCCTCTCCCAGGCTGGAGTGCAGTGGTGCAGTCACGGCTCACTGCAGCCTCAACCTCCTGGGCTCAAGTAATACTCCTGCCTCAGCTTCCCAAGTAGTTGGGACTACAGGAGCGTGTCACCATGCCCGGCTAATTTTTTGGATTTTTTTTTTGTAGAGATGAGGTCCCACTATTTTGCCTAGGCTGGTCTCAAACTCCCAGGCTCAAGTGATCTTCCCACCTTGGCTCCCGAAGTACTGGGATTACAGGTGTAAGCCACCACACCCAGGTTATTATTATTATTTTTTCTATAAAACAAAAACAAACATCCCTCTCTCTTTCCAAGTATATCTACGTGTACAAGCCTAGGGAAAGGTGTGACACTGGAAATTCAAGTGATCATCACTGGCTTCCGCAGAAGAAAGAAAGGGATGGAGGAGAGAGGAAAACTCTGCTCCTTCCATTTGAAATTCTGATTTCTTCTACTTGTTCCGTGAGATACCTTCGCAATTAATCCAAGAAGAATTTAAAAAGCCACGTGGCAGATACAAACACGTTGTCCAGGCCAAAGTGGCCCTTTCCATGGTTTTCTTATTTGAGTTTTTTTTTTTTTTTTTTTTTTTTTTTTTGAGACAGAGTTTCTCTCTGTGGCCCAGGCTGGAGTGCAGTGGCCGGATCTCCGCTCACTGCAAGCTCCGCCTCCCGGGTTCACGCCATTCTCCTGCCTCAGCCTCCTAAGTAGCTGGGACTACAGGAACCCGCCACCACACCCGGCTAATTTTTTTTATTTTTAGTAGAGACGGGGTTTCACTGTGTTAGCCAGGATGGTCTCCATCTCCTGACCTCGTGATCCACCCGCCTCCGCCTCCCAAAGTGCTGGGATTACAGGCGTGAGCCACCGCGCCCGGCCAAGGTTCATTAAGAAACAAATCCTGCTAAGTTTTCTCCCCTGCAGAAAACTCCTCAACAACGTCAAATTAACTTCAATTAATGTCCATATGGCAGTTACAGGGTTTACAGGCAATCTTTACTCAGGAACTTCCCAATACTTAAGCTCTACAAAGCAGGTTTCCTGTACTATCAAAAATAAATTTAGGCCAGGCGCGGTGGCTCACGCCTGTAATCCCAGCACTTTGGGAGGCCGAGGTGGGCGGGTCACGAGGTCAGGAGATTGAGACCATCCTGGCTAACACGGTGAAACCCTCTCTCTACTAAGAATACAAAAAATTAGCCGGGCGTGGTGGCAGGTGCCTCTAGTCCCAGATACTCGGGAGGCTGAGGCAGGAGAATGGCATGAACCCGGGAGCGGAGGTTGCAGGGAGCCGAGATCGCGCCACTGCACTCCAGCCTGGGCGACAGAGGGAGACTCTGTCTCGGGGGGAAAAAAAAAAAAAAAAAAAAAAAAGAACTGCTTATATAAGTCATTGTCATTCATGTGATGAGCCCCTGCTTAATACCTGGTAAGATTAAATTGCATCCCTTATGCTAGTGTTTCGCATACTTGGCTGATGACACAATTCACCTGTGCGGTTAAACGGGTCCCTGGGTCCTGCTTCAGACGCAGTGAATCAGAATCTCAGGGGAAAGGGCTCAGGACTCCGTTTATGTCTGCACTAAATGTTTGGAAATCGCGGCCTTAAATGGTTCTCAAATTCAAGGTGCATTTGAGAGCTTGTTAAAATGTTTATTCCAGGCCCGCCTCTCAATGATGTTGGCTTGGGAGATCTGGGGTAGATTCGGGAATGTGTGGACACACCTAGGTTTCCACGCTGTGGTGATTGGCTGGTTGGGGGTCTTTCTTAGTAGCCCTGAAAGTGGGAAATTGACAGTCATGAGATGCGGGTTCAAGTCCTAGCTTTGTCTTGTACTAGCTGTGTGACTTTGGGAAAGTCACTTAACTTCTCTGAGCTTCTCCTTCTACATCTGTAAAACAGGTAAGATGACTCACCTATTTTAGTGGTCATAAGACTTAAATGAGGCGATTCAGGGTTTTTTTTTTTTTCTTTTAGGTAGATAAAATTCACATAACGTAAAATTAACCATTTTAAAGTGTTAACAATTCAGGGGCATTTAGCACATTCACAATGTTGCACAACCATGACCTCTGTCTCGTTCCAAAACATGTTCATCATCTCCAAAACAAGCCCCATACTCATTAAGCAGTCCCTAGACAACCACGACTCTGCTTTCTGTCTCTATGGATTTACCTATTCTAGAGGTTTCCTATAAACAGAATCTTAAAACATGTGACCTTTTGTGTCTGGCTTCCTTCACTTAACATAATGGCTTTGAGGTTCATCCATGTTGTGGCATGTGTCAATATTTCATTCCTTTTTTTCCGGCTGAATAATATTCCCTTTTTTTCTGCCACACTTTTGTTTATCCATTCATCAGTTGAGGGGCATTTGGGTTGTTTCTATCTTGTGGCTATCGTGAACAGTGCTGCTATAAACATTCATAGACAGTGTTTGTTTGAACACTTGTTTTCACTTCTTTTGGAAATATACCTCAGAGTGGACAAACTAGCTGGGAAAGTAGTTTTAAGTCTCAGAGCTGGGGTTCATGAATAAGGCATTTGGGGATCCACTGGAGTTATGGGTTCCGAAGTAGAGACATAAAACTTCACGCTTCTGTTCCTTCTGGAGGGCAAATTCAGTGCCCTTTGCCTGATTCTCAAAGGGGCATTAATGCAATAAAGGTTAAGATCCACTGGCCTAAAACACTGAACATACTTCCGTTACTATGACTGACTGTGCACTTCAAAGATCCAGATAAACGAATCCAAATTTTACTCAGTGTGTTACAACTTAATTTTAGTGATGAGTGTTCAATGGATTCTAAGATGCAATTTTCTCACTTCACCATCTGGGAGGTCGGGGCGAGGCTTAAAGCAATAGTGTGTAATAATAACTGCCACCAGGTGGAGCTCATGATTCGCCGTGTGCACAAACGTGGGGCGTAAGAGTATCAGGGTTTGCAGAATGCCAGGCAGCACCCTGGGAGATCACCCCGTAGGCAGTGGGAGAACACTCCTAACCCATGGGAACTAATTGGTTGTGAGAAGGCGGTGCAAGAGGTGGGAAATAATTAAGCAGTGTTCTCTAAGCAGGGGTCAAAGGCAGGCAGAGGTCGGACGCCGTAATCACAGTACTTTGGGAGGCCGAGGTGGAAGGATCGCTTGAGGCCAGGAGTAGAGACCAGCCTGGGCAACATAGCGAGATCCCCATCTCTACAATAATAAAAAAATTTAGCTGGGCATGGTGGCGTGCACTTGTGATTCCAGCCGCATGGGAGGCTGAAGTGGGAGGATTGCTTGAGCCCAGGAGATTGAGGCTGCAGTGAGTCATGATCACGCCACTGCATTCCAGCCTGTGCAACAGAGCAAGACCCTGTCTCCAAACAAACAAATAAACAAACAAAAACAAACAAACAAACAAAAACCAGGCTGGTTCACAGGGCAGGGACTAGGGCAAGGCGAGGCGTCTAGGGCGAGAAGTGTACGGAGACTCTTTTTTAAAGGCTGTTCTATGGAACACTTGGTCACCTCCTTACATTTTTTGCCTCAGGCACCTCTCTTGCCTCAACCTCGTCCCAGCCCTGCCTCAATGTAACTGCAAGCCCCTTGTATCAAAGACTTTAGTTCGTTATGGACATTCCTACTGAATTCTGCATCCTTGATGCTTTAATGGGACAGGAGCAATATATATATGTACACATATGTATGTATATGTATGCATATACATGTATGTATGTAAATGTATACATATTTTAGTACAGAATGACATTCAACAGGAGCAATATTGAGTGGAGGTTAATGTTGAAGACCTGGAGTAAAAAATGATTCTACAGCTGGGTGTGGTGGCTCATACCTGCAATCCCAGCTACTCAGAGGCAGAGGAGGGAGGATTGCTGAGGTCAGGAGTTCTAGGCCAGCCTGGGCAACATAGCAAGACCCTGTCTCTACCAAAACATTTAGTAATAATTTAGAAAATCAAAAGTGCCAGACTTTGAAGGTGGGGAACTTTTAAATACACTGGAACCAGTTTATTTTTGCTTGTATTTTGTTTGTTTGTTTGAGACAGAGTCTCAGTCTGTTACCCAGGCTGGAGTGCAGTAGCATGATCACAGTTCATTGCAACCTCTGTCTCCTGGGCTCAAGTGATCCTCCCACCTTAGCCTCCCAAGTAGCTGGGACTACAGGCACATGTCACCATGTCAGGTTAATTTTTGTATTATTGTTATTATTTTTTTTGTAGAAATGGTTTCACCATGTTACCCCAGGCTGGTCTCGAACTCCTGGGCTCAAGCAATCCTCCCCCCTCCGCTTCCCAAAATGCTGGGATTACAGGTGTGAGCCACTGCGCCTAGGCTGCTTATATTTTCATGTCAACATTTTCATAATTGTGATATATGATAAAAAGCTTAACGCTTAAAGACCTTTTTATTTATTTATTTATTTATTTATTTTTATTTTTAGATAGAATCTCACTGTGTCATTACAGGCTGGAGTGCAGTGGCGTGATCTCAGTTCACTGCAACCTCCGCCGCCCAGGTTCAAGTGATTCTCCTGCCTCAGCCTCCCAAGTAGCTGGAACTTCAGGCATGCACCAGTATGCCAGGCTAATTTTTTTTAATTTTTAGAAGAGATGGGGGTTTCACCATGTTGGCCAGGCTGGTCTTGAACTCCTGACCTCAAGTGATCTGCCTGCCTCAGCTTCCCAAAGTGTTGAGATTACAGGCGTGAGCCACTGTGCCTGGCCAAAAGCTCCTTTAGTAAGTAAAAATAAAAATTCTAAGCCAGGAGAAGACATTGTGTCATAGTGTAATTGGCGACATTTTTTTTTTTCTTTTTTAGTGGTGACATCTTAGATTTAATGAAGTACAGTAGCTCAGCTTTTTATTATTTTAAAATTTAATTTAATTTTTTTGAGATAGAGTCTTGCTATGTCCAGGCTGGAGTGTAATGGCATGATCAAGGCTCAGAGCAACTTTGACCTCCTAGGCTCAGGTGATCCTCCCATCTCAGCCTCCCGAGTAGCTGGGACTACAGGTGTGTGCCCAACTACTTTTTTTTTTTTTTAAATAGAGATGGGGGTCTCACTATGTTCCCTAGGCTGGTCTCGAACTCCTAGTCCAACTTTTTAGAGCAAGTTCAGAACTCCTGTGAGCCAATCCTGACATCTCCAGGGCCCGTGGACCCTGTGTGGTGAGTAGGTTTCTTTACCTTTACACACGGGCAGGGGCCCATTCCAGTGGGATGGCTGTCCCAGGATGCAGCGGATGGTCACTTCGCCCATGAGCTCAAAGCCTTCGTAGCACATGAAAGTGAGGGACTCTCCTGGCAGGTAGAGTCGCTTGTACAGGATTTGGTATCCATTTTCAGGCAGCCCTGGGTTGTCACATGCCAGGGACTCCTCCGCTGAAATGCAAGCCAGAAGGAGCTCTGATGAGATGATGTAAATCTTTGGGGAGTCCTGCTCAGAATCTGTGTGAATCTAGCTTTGGTCAGCCTCTCCAGCATCCTCTGTCTGCATCCCCACCTCGCGTCAGACTGTTTTCTATTTCTCAAACTCTCCTTTCTGTCTTCCACCTCTGGGCACAGATTACATATGGGCAAGGTAGAATGAAGCTGGCTGTGGAATCAAGGTTAAAATACGAGTTCTGTTACTTATTAGCTGTGCAATCGCCAGCAAGTGGCATAACCTTTCTGATCCTTAGTTTCCTCATTAGCATAATGATGATCAAAGTATTATCTATCTTACAGGAATTTGGAGAACTAAAATAGATAAATAAAGAAATGCGTAAGATGTTTTTGGCATGTCATAGGTGCTTAGTAAATGATGGACGGTGGGGGTGTTTAATTATGAAATCTTCTCCTTGCTTTTCACCTGACACCTAACCTGCGCATCCATCATGACTAGGTCTTGTCTTTCAACACTCAGTCTTCATTTCTCCTTCTCCAGGAAGCCTTCCTTGATGCCTCCTACCATCAACTGAGTCGTCAGTCTTCTTAGTTTTTCCAGCACTGCATGCACTGTATTGTACTGAATTATTTATCTGTTTCTCTCACTGGAGATGAGCCTGTTAGAACAAGCTTGAAGCTCAGGGCCTGGGATTTAGAAGGAATGCAATAAAAGGCTCCAACTATTAAAAATAAGCCCACACTGCCATCTGGTGACTACTCTCTTCAGCTGCAGATACAAAGCCTCTGGTAGCCTAAGACACCCAGGCTGGAGTGCAGTGGTGCAACCCCGGCTCACTGCAGCGTCAGCCTCCCAGGGTAAAGCAATTCCCCTGCTTAAGCCTTCTGAGTAGCTGGGACTAAGGGCGTGTCCTACCACACTCGGCTTTTTTTTTTTTTTTTTTTTTTTTTTTAGTACAGACAGCGCCTTGCTATGCCTCCCAAGCTGGTCTCAAATTCCTGGGCTCAAGCAATCCTCCTGCCTCAGCCACCCAAGATGCTGGATCACACAGTATTTATTGGAGAGTTGAACCTACAGGTTTAATCCATTTCAGGCCCCAGGTGAAATCTAGTCTTTTTTCAGCACCTGGATGGAATGGACAGCTAGCAAATTGCTTCACACACAGGACTACAAATCCGAAAACATTATAAACTTTATTATTTAAAAAATTTTAAATTGTAGTAAAATCCACATAACATAAAACTGACCATCTTAACCATTTTAAGTGTACGGTCCAGTAGGTTAGTGTACTTTTACATTCTTGGGCAACTGATATCCAGAACTCTTTTCGTCTTGCGAATCTTACACTCTATATGCATTAAACAACTTATCCCTAGCCCCTGGCATCCCCCATTCTCCTTTCTGTCTCTATGAAGTTGACAGCTCTAGTTATCGCGTGTAAGTGTAATCAAATGGTATTTGCCTTCTGTGACTGGCTTCTTTCACTTAGCGTAATGTCCTCAAAGTTCATCTAGGTTGTAAGATGTGTCAAAAATATTCTTCCTTTTCAAGGCTGACTAATACTCCATTGTAGGCAGGTGCCACATTTTGTTTTTTGTTCATCCATCTATGGACACTTAGGTAGCTTCCCCTTTTGGCTACTCTGACCAATACTGCTATGAACATGGGTGCACATGTTAAGCTATGCCCAGATTTCTGACCCACAGAAACTGTCAGATAATAAACATGTGTTGTTTGAAGCATCTTATTTTGCAAGATGATTCTCAAGCATCCCTTCAAGACCCAGATTGCTACCCAAAGGCAGGCAGGAACTCTGTCTTATCACCATCATAACTTCAGAATCTTTTCTGGCACCTCTTTCCCAGGCTTAAAACTCATATTATGCTCATACCCAGTACAATGCCTGGTTCACAGAAAGCATTCTTTTATTTACTCAAATAATGTTTATTGAGCAATTACTATGTGCCAACAACATAAGTAGTACCAAGGACACAGAGGTGAGTAAAACAGATATAATCCCTGGTCCTACGGTACTTGTGGTTCAAGGCACACCGTACAATATAGGTCCCAGCTAGAACCCTTTTCTCTGTGAACATGACTTACATCTGGGCTCTACTTAGCTTGAGCAATGTCACCTAAAACAATAGTTACCGAGCTTTCACAAGTTAGGAGATTTCAAATAATAACTTAGATTTCTGGATTCTTCTGAAACATTAGAAGATTGGGCAATACTGGGTTCACATAGTTACATGGCAATGAGTGGCTGGAGTTGAGAACTGGCTTTCCCTATTAGACCAGGAATATTCTTTACTTTGGCCCCAATCTCTGCCACTCCCTATTGCCTGGCCTTGTAGGCATTTAAATATATCACTTTTCCCATGAAAAGATGAATGAATCAATTGATGAGTATGTTTGAGTCACAGTAATCACCACACGTGAAAAATCGGGGCTTTGATCTCCTCCAGTGGGTGGATGGGTAGGAATCTGGCTTCTAGTCTTGAGGTTGAAGGGTTTTCCTTTATACGTCGATAGCAGTCTTCACTGGGACTTATGAACTGTTTCCTTCCCACCCTTGAAATCTAGCCCAGAAGTAGCCTGTGGAAAGAGACTTTCCAGGTCACTGTGCAGCTGGAGTTGCATCTTGGATGACACCATAGATAGCTCTGGTGAGCATCCATGCATTTATTCAGAAAATATCTCATGAGTGCTTACTCCACGCCCAGCAATGCGTCCAGCAATGGGGTAAGGAGGTGAATCTGACACCATTCCTGCCCTCTAACGCTCATGGTCTGCATGCTCTAAGGGGCCAAGCAAATGTGTAAATGGACAATGTAATTAAAAATGGCAGGTACCATAGAAGAGAGAAACTCAGAAGACCCTGGCTGGAGAAGACCGCTAATGCAGTCAAGGGAAGCGGCTGTTGGAATAGTTGAGCGAGAGAGGCAGAGATGCTGAATGTACTTCCTTTGCCACGAGATTCCCAGAGATGAGGCAATAAGTGGTTCAGTTGACACTTGGCCAAGGCTAATCCTTCCACTAATTGAAGGTCATTTGTATACTTGAAGTTTACCCCCTGGCATTCCAGAGCAGGATGGATATGCAGCCAATGCTTCTGTGTCTGAGCCCAGAGTCAAATCACAAAGCCTTGCTTAAATCAATCATGGGGCTCTCTCCAAGGCAGCACTCTATTATGTGTTTATGGAGGAGACCTAAAAGGGCTGGCAAGGGATCATTAACCCTGCAGAGCGTGCCTTGGGGATGGGCTGTAGGAAGGGAGAATTTTATTTTTATTTTCACAGCCCGTGCTTTGTTGTATTTTTTTTTTTTAAATGCAGGGTGGGTCTGCATTATTTTACAATAAACATAGATGGTATAATGAACGTTTATACATTATAAACCCAGTGCCATTCATGTTCTAATGATTCCTCTGAAAATATCCTTAGGAAGTCTTTGGTCCTCAACCCAGCTGAGCTCACCGCTGCATCCTTGGCAGCCTGGTACAGGATAGGAGCCCAATCAATGTTTCTTGAAAGACCTCACATCATTTCATTTAAAGGCAAATTGCAGAGTAGAAGCACTTGGGCTCAAGTGTCCAAGGGCTCAGGATTTAGATCCTAGTTGTATGCCTGTGAGCACAACTGACCTCTCTGAGCCTCAATTTCCTCATCTTGAAAATGGGCTATCTCATGGCGTTGTTATGAGAATTAAATAAGCTCATGCACATGAGATGGGCAGCATATAGTGAGCACCCAATACACACTGATTATTTTTATGACTTTTATAACTCTTGTCATATTTTCATACCAATTGTACTGTCGTTTACTTAATACGTATATATACACATATATGTGTGTGTGTGTATATATATATATATGGAGAGAGAGAGAGAGAGAAAGAGAGAGAGAGAGAAAGAAAGAGAGAGAAAGAGAGAGATGGAGTCTCACTCTGTCACCCAAGATGTAGTGCAGTGGCATGATCTCAGCTCACTGCAACCTCAGCCTTCTGGGTCCAAGTGATTTTCCTGCCTCTGCCTCCTGAGTAGCTGGGACTATAGTCATGTGCCACCACGCCTAGCTAATTTTTTTTTTTTGTATTTTTAGTAGAGATGGAGTTCCACCATTTTGGCCAGGCTGGTCTCGAACTCCTGACCTCAAGTGATCCATCCACCGCAGGCTCCCAAAGTGCTGGGATTACAGGCGTGAGCCACCACACCTGTCCTCTTTAATATATTTTTGTAAATTTCTATTGACTTGTTTTCCTATTTAGATTGCACTATATAATTTAGCCTCACTCTAAATAATAATAGTCTTATAATCAGAGGCGTCACATGTCAGTTTTAATTTTTCTAATTTTCTAAGCCAAACGACTCACAAAAAGTTCATCTGGACACTGTTTAAAGCCGCGCGGGTACTCCCGTAATGTATCTAATACTCCTACTCCTCGGGAAATGCAGCCCGGTGCACTACACTTTATAGTTTTTGAACTCCTAGAGTCCAGAATACACTCTCCGGTTTTTTTGTTTTTGTTTTTTTTTAGACTGTAGACTCTGTTCCTCCAATATTCCATCCCTGTGCTAGGAGCTGGGTATGAAGTAGTGAATTAGAGAATCATGGTTTCTGTTCTCCCAGAACTCAGTCGAGTGGGGAACAGAGAGCAGTTATCGGGTCATTGCAACCCAATGTAATCTCAATTGTGCTGGGGAAAGCGCAGAGGAGAAGCCTGACTTTCCTGCTTTTTCTTGTTGATATTGGCAGCTCCTTTCAGAGAACACAAATCCCTACTGTATTACCTGCAGTGCAGCAAAATGACCAGCAGGTGACAGTGGCAACTCAAAAGAATTCCCCCATGAACCTTTCCCTGGAAATTTTCTTTGATAAATTAACAGATTAATTAATACAACGCATATTTATTGGACACCTTCTGTGTGCCAGGCATTGTATGCGCCGGGCATACAATGATGAGCAAGGTGAACATGGTGCCTTCCTTCAAGTAACTT